CGCCCCCCTGGCACTGCCAGGCTCCCCCTGCTGCTTGGGATGTGCAGCGCATCACCGGCGCCACCTGCTGGCCGCAGCCTGCACTGCAGGGTAGGGCATGCCAGCCCCGGCCTGACCCCCTCCTTTCCTCCCCTCCCGCCAGCATGGCCCGCACCATCCAAAAGCACCAGCACCTGCTCGCGCTCCTGGAGAGCCTGGAGACTGGGAAGCCCATTGGGGAGGCCCGGGCCCGGGCCCTGCCCCTGGTCATCCGACATTTCTACCATCACGCTGGCTGGGCCCAGCTCATGGGTACTGAGCTGCGGGACTGGAAATCCCTGGGTGAGTATCGCGCCCCGAGAGCAGGGACTGCATCCCCCAGCCCGAGCTGGGCTCATCCGCCTCCTTGGCATGGGGGAAACTAAGGCACAACGTGGGGGCTGAGCAGCAGAGCCCACTCCTCTACTTGACTGCTCTCCCCCGACTTTCAGCAAACCCACCCCCAGACTGTTCCCATCTCAGAGCCTGGGAAAGAACCCAGGACTCCTGGCTCCCCCCCTCACCCGCCCCACCTCTAACCACTAGACCCCACTGCCATCCCAGAGCTGGGGGACCCCAGGTGACCTCTGTCTCTTCCCCAGGTGTGGTCGCTTGTGTGGTTACCTGGAATTCCCCCTTGCTGCTGCTGGCCTGGAAAATCTGCCCAGCTCTGGCTATGGGTAAGTGTGGGGGGGCCTCACCCCCCCAGCCCCTGTGGGTAGTGTTGTGGGTCTGCGCCCCCCCCCCCCCCAGCTTCTGTATCTCTCCCAAGCTTCCTACTTGGCCCCTTCTAAGGCAAGGGACTCGTGATTGTCCCCCTCTTTGGGGCCCCCTGTGTCCCCTATGTGGGAGCCCCCTGCACCTGCCCCATGTGGTCCCCTCTGAGACCCCCTCCTCTCTCTGGTTTCCCCCTAGTCAAGGCACAGAGCTGAGGTAACAGCCCCCCAGAAGAGCCACACAGCTCATCCCTAGGAGGACTCAGCTATAAAGTGGCTGCACCCAAGAAACCAACCCCCTAAAAGGGACTGAACCCCCAAATAAACCCTTCTTACTCTGCGTAAAACTTTTCCCCCGAGCAAGCTCATAAGCTCTGCCCCCTTTTATCAAGGGAAGAGAGATATGCACACTGGTTGCTCCCCTGGTTAACAGTTATTTATACTGGGCATGAACACACACAAAAGTATCCGAGGGGTCGCCGTGTTAGTCTGAATCTGCAAAAGCAGCGAGGAGTCCTGTGGCACCGTATAGACTCACTGCAGTGTAGGAGCACACGCTTTCGTGGGCATCTGACGAAGTGGGTCTTTGCCCACGGAAGCGTATGCTCCTACACTTCAGTTAGTCTATACGGTGCCACAGGACTCGACGCTTTTGCACACACAAGTGTTTTCATGAAGTATGAAAGCAGGGTCTACCTGATTGCAAGCGACAACCGATCAGTGTAAGTTACCAAGGGAAAATACACAAGACTGGCCAGTGAATTTGGGCCATGAAACTTGTTAGGTACAAATTTTTACCCTCGACGGCTGTTCTTATCTGGGGCAAAATGCTTCCAGCCGGAGTTGATCTTTACTCGGGCCTGACTGTGCAGCTTTTTCAAGAGTTCTTTCCAGTCCTTCACGTGGGGTTTCTTGGGGTAGGTGTGGCAGTTTCAAAGGCCAGCGGAAGACAAAGACCGGATTGTTTCTGTTCCTTTCGATAGACTTTCCCCCAGGGCGGGAACCCTTTCCTTAATCCCCCCTCCCCCATGGAAAAATACCAGATTCAAGATGGATTCTAGCCCCAGGTGGCTTCGTCATGTGTCTCTCCAGGAACAATCACAGTGGGGGCTCACAGAGCAAACAGGACCATTCACGGGTCTTTGGTTTGAGTCCGGAGCCATTAAGTTCCTAAAGGTTCCGTCATGCGCACAATCAGAATTCAAACCGGAGTCACACCTCCTGTGTCTCACTCCATGACAAGAACGACCCAGGCCCAGAAATGGGATGTGCCCACTCAGCAGATTGTAACGGCACTGGACCTGGTACGGGATGCATTTTGCATAAAGCATCTTCAAGTTATGCATATTCATAAGCCGATTTTCATAAAGCGAGGGCGGGGGCCGCTTCTCTGGGCCCCCTGCACCCACATATGTGGAGCCTCTGTGGGCTCTGAGCCCCCTGCCCCTCCCCTCTGAGGCATCCCCCTCTTGACCCCCATTTCTCCCCACAGGGAACACGGTGGTTCTCCTCCCACCCCCCCACGCCCGGCTCTCTGCCCTGCTGCTGGCCGAGCTGGGGGCCCAGGCTGGGCTGCCCCCCGGGGTGCTGCAGGTGCTGACGGGGGAGGAGGCGCTGGCTCTCTGTGGGCTCTGAGCCCCCTGCCCCTCCCCTCTGAGGCATCCCCCTCTTGACCCCCATTTCTCCCCACAGGGAACACGGTGGTTCTCCTCCCACCCCCCCACGCCCGGCTCTCTGCCCTGCTGCTGGCCGAGCTGGGGGCCCAGGCTGGGCTGCCCCCCGGGGTGCTGCAGGTGCTGACGGGGGAGGAGGCGCTGGCTGGGGAGCTGGCTGCCCACCCCAGGGTGGCTGCGGTGGCTGTGGCCAGCTCTGTGGAGGTAGGTGCTGCCCGGCAGCGAGGAAGGGGTGTTTGCCTGATCTGTGGGGTGTGGGGGGAGCTGATATTTTGGGGGCAGAGCAGCCATAGGCTGG